CAATAGATAACACCAGTCGGACAGTTGTCATCTTAGCCACAGGCGCAAATGTTTCGTCATAATCAATCTGGTATTCCTGCCGATTGCCAAGAGCTACCAATCTTGTCTTATATCTGTCAAGAGAGTCATCAGATCGGAGTTTAAGAAAATAAATTCATTTACATCCAATGGGTTTAACACCTGTAGGACATGAAACAATATCCCAAGTGTGATTGTCTTAAAGTGCCTGAAGTTCCTCTTTCATGGCTTTGACCCAGCAAGTCTGTTTAGCAGCTTGAAAGTAAGAGGTAAGAACAATCGTATTAGTTAAAATTGCACTATACCCATATCTATCTGGAGGACGGATACGTCGGGTTGATCGTCGAATACTTATTGGAGCAATTTCTGGATCAGGGTCGGGGAGGATTGAAGGTGAAGGGGGCAGGCGTCGTGTGTAGACTATGTCTGGCTTGGACCGTTTATCAGCAGAAGAATTATCAAATTGTGGAAGTATAACTGTATCTGATTTGGACAAATGATGCTGAAAGTAATATTCATGTTCAAAGAAAATCACATTTCGAGAAATATGTCATCGACTATTAATCGAATCATAACACACTAAACCTTTATGATTAGGACTGTACCCCATAAAGGCACATTGTTCTGATTGAGCTGCCAATTTATGACGTTCATGAGCAGGTAGATGAACAAAGCAAACACATCCGAAAGTATGTAGCGTATGATAATTAGGGTGTTTATCAAAAACTCGATAGTAGGGAGACTCATATTTCAATTGTTGAGATGGTAAGCGATTAATGAGATAAACTGCAGTAGATAAAGCTTCAGTCCAAAATCTAGCTGGAACAGAAGATTTTAGCAGTAATGTGCGCACGATATCCAATAGATGTCGATTTTTTCGTTCAACAACTCCAGTTACGTTGTGAAATAATCCCTTTGTTCTGGAGAAATGCTTGAAACTCATGAGACATGTATTCACCCTCATTGTCAGATCGTAAGGTTTTAATGCGAGCGGAGAACTGAGTTTCAACATATACTAAAAATGTTTGGAATACAGTAAATACTTCTGTTTTGGCATGCAAAAAATAGATCCAAGTAAATCGACTATAATCATCAATAAATGTTACAAAATATCCTATATTGAGCATGTGAAATAATGCATGTGAAATAATTGGTGTAATTCCCAAACATCACTATGAATAATGTCAAAATATTTATTGGCACGACTGTCTGAAATAGGAAAATGTAATGTCTTGTTTTTTCCAAGTTCACAAACAGAACAGTCAACAACTAAATTCTTATCTGTATGACAAAAAATACCACTTTTATGTAACTGCTTCAACACCATATCATTTGAATGACCTAATTTTTTATGCCAGATGTCAGCCTTATTCTCAACAACTGAAGATGCTGATGAAATATTCCGAGGAACAATAAATTGCAATGGAAACAGTCTACCTACTTTAGGCCCTTTCGCTATCACCTTTCCCGACACCTGATCCTGCACAATACAACCATCACGAGAAAAATGTACTTCACAGTTATTATCCATAATTTGACCAACAGAGAATAAGTTAGTAGATAATTTAGAAGAAACCAAAACATGTTTGAAGGATGAGTTAATATCACCAACTGTCGTAATTGGAATATTATTTCCATTAGCAACCTGAATATGTTGAGTACCAGTGTACGGTCGTTGGTTATGTAATAGCTCAGCAGTGCTAGTCATATGATTTGTGGCGTCTGAATCAACAAACCAAGGAGAAGTAACCGAAGAAATAGTTTTACCTTTCCCTTGAAGGCCGAGAGCAAAAAATGAAGAGAATTATCTGTTGAACCATATAGGGTGTGACAGTTGATTGATTATTGTCAGCAACAGTAGAAGTCGAGGCAGGATTGTCGGATACCGTGGCATGAAGTGTTTGTGGTTTGCGATTTTGGGGTCGTGTTGGGCACTTCGTAAGAGTATGTCCATCTTGCTTGCAATAATTACATACCTTATTTTCACAATTCCGTGTACTATGACCAAATTTCTTGCAGCTGTAGCATTGCACTTGCCCCTTCCCTTTGGCCTTAACAGCATATGCCACATTAATTATTTCTGATTATCCACCTGTTGTACCGATAGTAGCTTTTGTCGCTAATCTTTGTTCTTCGCGCAATAATTGCCCAAAAACAAACATCTAAACGCGGAACCGAATCTCTGTTCGGCAATCTAGCTCGAGCAGTTTCAAATTCAGGTTTCAGTTTCATTAAAAACTGATCACGACGACTTTCTTCATGAATAGCTTGAAGACTAACTAAGTTCTCTTTTGACACTTTAGCATAGATAATACCAGTATATTCGCTCCATAAATTTAAAAAACCAGAATAATTTTGTTCAATTGAAATATTACCATGACTATAATTATTCATGTCAAGTTCCAATTGGAAGCGTTTCGCAGAATTATTTGATTATAAACGCGCTTAAATATTCCCACATTTCTTTAGCTGTGTTAAAGGAACGTAAATTGTTTACCATATGAGCCTCAATAGATCCCAAAATCCAGAAAACAATCCGACATCCTTTGCTTCCCATTGACCAAGATCTTTTGTCTCAGTAGGAGCTGGGGAAGATCCATCAATATGGCCCCAAAGCTCCTTCCTTTTTAAGAACATTCTGAGTTGAGCTGAAATTCCTTTTTAAGAACATTCTGAGTTGAAATTCTCATGCGACATAATTCTTTCCCGTAAATCTGATAGCTAAGATTTCAGAAGACATTTTAAATATATTAAAATATCCAAGATAATCCAAGATAAATAAAATTCAAAGGCTAGGGTCGAAGATCGAAGAGTGCCGCGAAGTTTGAATAGGTCGTGATTGTGACGATCGAAAGCAGTGGATCGCGACAGAATGAAGTGGAACGAGCGGATCACGACAGTGGCGGCAGATCGCGGCAAGAGCGACAGGAGCGAACAAGATATCGCACCAGAGATCGCGGCAGAACGAGCGACGATCACGATAAGCGAGCGGATCGCGGCGGAACGCGCAGGAGCGAGCAACCGGATCGCGACATGAGCAAATGAGAAGTCGCACCAGAGATCGCGCAAGAGCAAGCGAGCGGATGAAACGAACAGATCGCGGCAGAATGAGCGACGATCACGACAGATCTTGGAGCGAGCAAGCGAATTGCGGCAGAACGGAGTATCAGAAGATGTCGGACGAAGAAGATGTCGCACCAGAGAAGATGCCGTGGAACACACACCAGAGGTCCGATCGAAGGGAGTCTATCGGCTTGAAGCAGCGACAGAACTCAAACAAAGCGGACGAAGACGCCGCAAAACTCAAAGACAAGAACGAGGGCTTTGGTGAGGAAACAGTCGAAGATGCCAGCCAAAGATAACAAAAGCTAAAATTTCAAGGATTCAGGCTCTGATACCATGACAATATTTTGAGCAAATAGGCTGAATCCTTTTCCTTTGCTTTTATTCCAATAAATAGTAGTTTGTATAATCTGTTTTAGGTACATAATATTCAGTATATTCTAAAGTAAGTAACTTAATTAATACATAATCATAATCTAAATAATTAGCTAAAAGGAAAGAATCCGAAAGGGCTAAAAGGAAAGAATCCGTGTAAATATAATATTTCCCTCTTTGCAGTATTGCGAAGAAGTAAACTCTTTATTCTGTCTGATTTTTTTTTTCCTGATTGATAATTTTCATGTTGTGTTTTAGTGTTAAATTCTTGCTACATCAGTTATCATGCTATTTTTAAAACTATAGTGGGGATAAATGAAATGCACCTTTGAATCGAATACTTAGTTCTCAGGTAAAGCGTGCCATTGTTGGAATTCAATGTCGTCCAATAAGTTATAATATTTAAATGCATAAATAATTGAATAAACTATCAAGAAATAAACTTTGTTTTTGTTCATATTTTTAACATTTTGTACAAATTTTGGTTAAGGTGTGTTATTGCGGAGCTTTTCTTAGAAGGACAACCACTTTTTGAGCTATCCCAACTGCTTGCTTATCGTCGTGGCCAATATGATCCTAGTCTGTACCTGGAAAAGGTGATTGTCTTTACTGGTATTTCTCTTCTTTCCAATTTTCTTGAATATACCTTAGAAATATACTTTTTTTATTTTTTTGTTTGTTAATTTCTATTATTACGAATGCAGTTGTTGATATTTCCTTTTTGTTAGTTGATAATTATGCTAAAGTTCATGGAACTTGAACATCAAAAACAGAAAACATTATTGACAGTTTGATGTTATAACCTTAAGTGCTACAATGCTTGAATTTGTATGTTAATTCGTTTTAGACTCAAAAGAGGGAAGGTCATATCTGATCAGCTGGTCTATGTTTAGTAGACTAACTTCTAGTTTCAATCTACTTATTCATTGGTTTTGGGGTCATATTTCCTCTGTGATGGAGAAGAACCAGATGTGCTTGTATATGTAGCAAGTATTGAATGACTTTTCTCATTTATCTGAATTTCCACTATGGTTAACCTAAATTTCTGAGTTTACATTGTGAAGTATGAAAATCAGAGTAAGTTTTCAAGTTAGATGATTCAAATGATTTCTTTGTAGCTTTTTCTTCGCTGTATTTTTCTTTTTGCTCTGACATTTTTTTGATAAATACCCTTGATTTATTCGTATCATTATCTATTTAATATGCTTTGCTTAAAAAAAAAAAAAGGTAGGAAAAGCAAATGAGGTGTTGAGAGTAATCCCATGGAATCTAGGATTTCAACTCTTTCCTTCAGTGAATTGGACATGCAGTTTTTTATGTACTTGGCTTTAAATTACTTTTTCTTTTTTTTAAATTACTATGTGCATTAAAAAGGTGATAAATTCCTATTGCTTAAATGCATTGCACATCAAAAAAATTTTCCTTGAACGTGTTTTTTTTTTGTTGTTGGTTGAATTATTAATACAACAACAACAACAAGCCTTTATCCCACTAAATGTGGTCGGCTTGTTGGTTGTATTGCAAATGCAGTTTAGAAAATCAAGTGATACCTGCATGTGCTAGCTCTAAGTACATAAATAATATTGATTAATTGTGGTTGAAACTTTGAACTTAAGGTTGCATAAATTTTAATTCTACTATGTGATAAGAAAATTTTATCGATATTTAAATCTGTATGTAACAAAATAATAATTAAGCTTCTATGCTTTATAAATCTAAGTTTTAGATAATAAATATATCATTGACAGAATTGTTAATTATGTAAAAACGAGATTATTCAAATGAATGCCTTGTAAAAGCAGGAAAATACAGTGAGAAGTGCTTGTATCATAAAGACGATGGGAATGCAACATTCTGAATTTTAGTTGGTGGGAAATAAACTAATGTTTGGGTCTTATATTCATTGGGGAAAAAATGAGGTAATTTAAATTGAGATGAAAGGAATTGAAAGGAAAGGGTAGGGCGTAGATCATAGAGAATATGGCTTGACATTATGAAAAAAGACTCTTTAAAACTAGAGTTTATTTCTCATGTTTCACAGAATTTGAATGAGTGTAGTAGGATTTATTAAGCCTTCTCCAAGTAGTTGTGTTACTGTTAATGATGATATGATATTGCAAATATATTCTCAAGTCTAAATCGCACACTTGGCCGCATATTGTATTCTTTGCTTGGAACTGATAAAAGCTAAAATTCAGAGCAGATTTCCAAGAAATATATATTGGGATACTAAAATATGACCGTTGTAAAGTCATTCTTTTGTCCCACTTTTTTGGTGTTGGACAGTTAAAGGTCTGGGTTTACTAATTCAAGCTAGGATAAGATGCATAATGTAAACAAACAAAATATTGCAATCAACATATTGTGAACTCTTAATTTTAGCAGAAATTAATCTCTTTTAATGTAAAAACATTAGGTGTTCCTTTAATTTTAAATGATAATTTAATAATCACCAATAGCTAAAATTTAATGAGAATAACTACTCTTAAGATTCATTTTCTGTGTCAATGATCCTCTGATCCTTTGAGGGGGCCATTATAGTCCCAGAGTTTATAAAGTGTCAACTTAGTCCTCATATTATTTTAATATGAGTTGAAATAGTCCCATTAAGGACTATTTTAGCTGCCGATTAAAAATTCCGGGAATGAATTAAACGCTTTTATAAAGTCTAGGACTAAATAACCCCAAAGGAAATAGCTAGGGTACTATTTTGACACTTTACCTATTTTCTGTGCTTTTGACAACATAGATTCTTAAGTTTTTGATTACCTTTCATCATAGTTGCTGTCCATCTGAAAGCTTGAAACTAAACGTTGTATGTTTTGCAATAAATAGTACTCTCCAACTACAAAAATGAAAAAGGGATGTTAACAGAGATCAGTTAAGATAAATTGTTCTTTCTATTAGAACTATGGAAAATGTTGTCTCTTATAAATTTTTACTATAAAATGGGGTGTTGGTATTATCACTGCAGATACCTGATGTTGGAATTCGTGAGATGATACTGCATATGATTCAACTGAATCCAGAAGAAAGATTGTCCTGTGATAGCTATTTGCAGAGTTATGCATCGGCTGTTTTCCCAAGCTATTTCTCCCCATTTCTACATCAATTATTTTCCTGCTTGATTCCTCTGGACTCTGATACAAGGGTAAGGTGTTCCCAGAATGATTTCTTTCACATTAGAATCAAATTACTTTAAAACATGCCTCTATGATTCATATTCAGGTTGCAATGACTAAAGGTGCTTTCTCCGAGATAAGCAGACAGATGATGAATGATAGAGCTGTTGATGCCATCGTCTCTGAAACATCGGATGCCAACTTGATTGATAATGAATCATTTCAGAAATTCAAAAGTGGAAAGGAAAATACCAATTCCCCATATGATGGAGCTGATCCATCAGAAAGCATTGTTGGTAAAGGGCTTCAGCTTGTTGATGATTTAGATTCCATTTACAGGGAAGTAGAAAAGAACAATGCTTTTTCACACACTAAAGCAAAAATTGGAAACACTGCAAATGTTTCCACATATAGTTCCAGCACCAAATCAACTATATTTTCTAACCAGACAAAGCGTTTTGGAAGGCAATCTTCGTTTCGTGCTCATGGAAAGGAAAATGAAATCACTCTTTTCAAAAAATTCCATAAAAACGATTTGGAATCTCTAATGGCCGGATACAATATTCAATCCGAAAGCAATGAAATGCCCTTTTTCCAATTCATGGAATTTAATACAAGCTGTGAAGGTATGGTTCTCATTGCATCATTGCTTTGCTCATGCATACGAAGTGTTAAGCAGCCCCAGCTTCGAAGAGCTGGTGTACTTATGTTGAGGTCTTGCTCCTTTTACATTGATGATGAAGATCGTTTACAGCATGTGCTTCCATATGTTATTGCAATGCTTTCTGATCCTGCTGCAATTGTCCGTTGTGCTGCTTTGGATACATTGTGTGATGTGTTGGCATTAGTTAGAGATTTTCCACCCAGTGATGCTAAGATATTTCCAGAGTATATTCTTCCCATGCTATCTATGCTTCCAGATGACCCTGAAGAAAGTGTCAGGATTTGTTATGCTAGGAACATATTCAAAATTGCACTGGCTGCTTATAGATTCTTAATTTGCTCAAAAAATTTGGCTGATACTGGATCATTTGATAAAGTAGTACCCACCAAATCGCAGCTACTTTCAACAGAACCGTCAGTCAAGAAAGATGCTGAGAACAGTGATGCACAACTGGCTCAGTTGAGAAAATCCATTGCTGAAGTTGTGCAAGAGCTGGTCATGGGCTCAAAACAAACTCCAAGTATCAGGAGAGCCCTTTTGCAGGATATCGGACATTTGTGTTTCTTTTTTGAACAGAAACAATGTAATGATTTCTTACTTCCAATCCTACCGGCATTTCTTAATGACCGAGATGAGCAACTGAGAGCAGTATTTTATGGGCAGATTGTTTTTGTCTGCTACTTCGTTGGCCAACGAAGTGTTGAGGAGTATTTATTACCTTATATAGACCAGGCTTTAACTGATGGCATGGAGGCTGTCATTGTTAATGCGTTGGACTGCTTGTCTATGCTTTGTAGAAGTGGCTTTTTGCGGAAGAGGATTTTACTTGACATGATTGAAAGATCCTTTCCATTGTTATGTTATCCGAGTCAGTGGGTACGAAGATCAGTTGCCACTTTCATTGCAGCAAGTAGCCAAACCTTGGGACCCGTGGATTCTTATGTCTACCTTTATCCAATTTTGCGTCCTTTTCTTCAGAGAGAACCTCCTTCTCTATATTCAGACTCATCCCTACTTTCTTGTCTAAAGCCTCCAGTGTCAAAGTCTGTATTTTACCATGTATTGGAAAAGACAAGGAGTGTTGATATGCTAGAAAGGCAGCGAAAGATATGGTATAACTCATCAGGCCAGTCAAATAATTGGGAAACACTTGAGAACATTAATTGGGTTGCAGCAGATCTGGATCCTATGAAGAAAACTTGGAACAAAGAACCAGTGGCTCAAAATATTAAAATTTCTGGTAATTCTGTCCAAAAAGTAACTTCATCTGATGTTGAAGTTATTGCTAAGTTGAGAAAAGAGAATTCTTTTCTCATCAATGGTGTGATGGATGAAAGGGATTCATTTAGTTCCGATAAGATGCAATTCTCTGGATTTTTTTCACCCAATGTTAACACTAGTAACAGCTTTCTTTTCGATGGACCATCTGAGGGTATTCCTATCTACTCTTATATGGATAAGCGCAGTAGGGGTGTGTTATCTAAAGCTCCTGATACTTCAACACGCTTGAATTCTGCCGGAGTTGCTTCTTCATGCATGCCATGTGTGGGCTCTGCGAATAAACCAACTAGCTTATCAAATTCAGTACCTCCAAGGCTTGTCTCAGGCTCCTTCAACGAAACAACTTCTATTATGGCTTATGATCCATATAGTCATGAGATTGACCCTTCTTTAAACATCACCAGCAAATTCCAGGATGTCAATGTTACTGACATTGTGAAGACTTCTTCAACGTCCTTCGGAGACGATAAATACCAATCCGATATAACTGTATTGCCCTCATTTTCTAGAACTTCAACAATTCCTGATACAGGATGGAAGCCTCGTGGAGTTTTGGTGGCACATCTCCAAGAACACTCCTCTTCTGTGAATGATATTGCAGTATCAAATGACAATTCATTCTTTGTCAGTGCTTCAAGTGATTCTACCGTAAAAATATGGGACAGCAGGAAGTTGGAAAAAGACATCTCTTTTCGCTCAAGGCTAACTTATTCTTTGGGCTATAGCCAGGCTCTCTGTGTTAGCATGCTTCGCGGTACACCAAAGGTAGTAGTTGGTGCATCTAATGGGATACTGCACTTGTTTTCTATTGATTATGTTTCAAGAGGACTGGGTAATGTTGTTGAAAGGTATTCAGGTATTGTTGATAGTAGGAAGCAAGAGGTTGGAGGAGGTGCAGTTCTTACCCTGTTGAACTGCTCTTCTTCTGATTCTGGCATTTGCCATACAATTATTTACAGCACTCGAGAGCATGGAATCAATCTTTGGGACACACGGACGGATAAAGCAGCTTGGACATTTAGAGTTGCACCAGAGGAGGGATTTATTTCTTCCCTTGTGATGGGTCAGTGTGGGAACTGGTTTGTATCGGGATCTTCAAGGGGCATATTGACATTGTGGGATTTGAGGTTTCTTTTACCTGTTAACTCCTGGCAATACTCAACAGTATGTCCTGTGGAGAGGATGTGTTTACTCATTCCATCTTCAAATTCTACTCCAGCGATGGCAAGGCCATTGATATATGTTTCTGCTGGCTGTAATGAAGTTGCTCTGTGGAATGCTGAGACTGGAAGCTGCCACCAGGTAGGCCAGGCATAAAGTTTTAGTTTCATCTTCTACAATTTCTGAATCTGCGAAAATAAAATGCTATGTATTGAGCCCTCATATATACATGTTTTGTGAAAGTAGATTTGGTATGCATAACATGTAAGTTTTTAGTAGAAAATATTTAATGTTGAAAGGTTGAAATCTATGCCTCTATTTTAATTCTATTTTCATTCCTTTTATAAAGACTAACATAGAAATCTACCCACCCGGAAATAGGGAAAAGGCGCTTGTGTAATTATTCCTGTAGAAGGTTTCAACTTTCTCAAAAGTTAAAGAATGTCTCATTCTAAATTTCACTCAGGTATTCAGAGTAGCCAGCTGTGACAGCGTTGCAGAAATGTCTAACATTCCTCGAGCATTAGCGAGGCCTTCCAGCAAGCCAATATCTAAGCAGGATATGAAACGGAATTCTAGTTCCAAATATAGAATCGATGAATTGAATGAGCCTCCGCCTCGTCTTCCTGGCATCCGCTCATTGCTGCCTTTGCCTGGTGGAGATCTACTAACAGGAGGAAGAGACCTGAAAATTCGCTATTGGAATCATGCAAGGTTTGACTAATATGCTAGTTAGGTCTTGTTTTCTTTTTTTTTTAAATTAATTCTGTTCTTATGGCTGACTGATGATTTACTCTTTTATGACTTGCTAGTCCTGAGCGAAGTTACTCCATCTGTGGTCCATCAACACCAGGTTTGGGGAATGATGAGCATTATGAGACAAGATCAAGCTTCGGGGTACAAATTGTGCAGGTAAATTTCACTCATTTAAAGCCCATGTTATTTGGGATTATGATGTATACTGAAGGAATTGGATGAAATCCTATGATAATATATTTTTGGTGGCAACTTTAAGGTTTAAGAAGTTACAAGGCTTATTCAGATAATCTAAACCTTGCCATTCAAATTTGCAAGTTGACTGGAAGGCAGTATAAATATTTAGGTTCGTTAGATACAAATGTACATTAGTAATGTATCAAAGCGTTCTAATAATAATCGGCAGAGTTGGGTATCTTGATGTTATATTTTAGAGGATGTGAGGTGAGTGGAGAAACGTCATGATATGTGTTCTTACATATCAAAAGTAAACTAAATGGATAGTTTGGCATTAACTATAAATTAATTTCCCTTTAGTTCTTATGTTTTCCCTTGATGTTCAATTCCATCCCTTAGTTTGACAAATTATAGAGGAATTAAGTTGATATGTCTTACTTCAACATTATGGGAGAGGATAATTGAACATAGATTAAGACTTGAACATAGAGGATAATTGAACATAGATTAAGACGTATTACAAAGATTTCTTATAATCAGTTTGGATTTATGCCAGACAGTTCTACTATAGATGTTATACATTTATTGAAGGGTTTGATGGAGAAATATAGAGAGAATAAGAAGGATCTGCATATGATTTTTATTGATTTAGAAAAAGCTTAACGACGAGGTTCCAAGAGAAATCCTTTGGAGAGTTTTAGAGAAGAAGGGTGTTGATATGACTTAAATTCAAGTCGTTAAAGATATGTATACTAGAGCTATTACTTGTGTTTGAACCAAAGGATTTGAAGGAGGATTGACCAAATATTTTTCTATTTCTGTTGGATTACATCAGGGATCGACTTTAAGCCATATCTTTTTGCTTTAGTTATGGATGTTCTTACTGGACATGTACAGGAGGATGTACCTTGGTATATGCTTTTCGCTGATGATATCCTTCTTGTGGATAAGACTAGAAAAAGATTTCAAGAAAATTTTGAATTATGGAGGTCTACATTAGAGGCTAAAGGCCTTCATTTGAGTAGAACTAAAACTTAATACATGGAATTTGGTTTTAGTAGTAGTTGCTCTAGTGGGAGAGTTGTAATTATAATGATCAAATCATTAGAAGGTGTGAATGCTTTAGATATCTCGGGTTTATTATTTAGTGTGATTGTGAAATAGTTGGTGATGTTATTAGTAGAGTTCAAGTTGGTTGGTTGAAGTGGTGGAATGCATCAGGCCTATTGTGTGATAGAAAAGTACTGCATAGGCTGAAAGAAAAATTTAATAAGATGGCAGTGAGACCTGCAATGCTGTATGGCGCAAAATGTTGGCCTTTAAAGGAGAAGCATAAAACAAGCTAAGTGTTGTCGAGATGAGAATGCTTAGGTGGATGAGTGGCTTGACACTTAGAGAGAAAATGCAAAATGAATATATCCCTGATAAAGTTGGTGTAGCTCTAGTTGCGGATAAAATTAGAGAGTCTTCATAGATGGTTTGGTCACATTAAATGTCGACCTTCTTATGATCCGGTTAGGAGAGTAGATGTTTGGGATTCGGCTTCTGTTAAGAAAGACAAAAATAGACTTAGAAAGACTTGGGCATATTGTATAAAAAATATCTTGATGTATTAAAATTAAATGAAAATATGACACTCAATAGGATGCAATGGAGAAAAAATATTATGTAGCCGATCCCACTTAGTGGGATAAAGGAGTCTTGTTGTTGGGAGTTACTGCCTATAAATTTTTCATGCAGATTATGTATAGCTACCTATTGAATTGACCATTAGTTTTTTGTACAAAATGTATAGCATCTCTTCATCCCCTTTTACCCCGTTCTGATTCTCACTTTTCATACTCTTATTATCCCTACTGAATGAGTTCCATCTGGGATCTTTCACAGGAGATGAATAGGCGAGCTGCATCATCGACACAGACTCAGAAAGCTCTCTTAGCTGCGGCAGCTACTGATTCTGCGGGTTGCCATCGCGATTCGGTACTCTCTTTAGCCTCTGTCAAATTGAATCAGAGGCTGTTGATATCAAGCAGCAGAGATGGGGCCATTAAGGTTTGGAAGTAGAGCAGCAAAGCAAGGCTTTAAGGTCGTGCCCTGCACATATTTACTTTATTTTACTACAAATCATAGTTATTTACACTTTTCCCCTTCCTCCCTCAATTTCAAATTCACAAGCATTACAGAGAAATCAGTTTGTGTGCAGAATAGGCTTTGAGAAAGGGAGCAAAGAGGCTTTTGCTTTCCTCCTAACAACTGTAAGAAACTACTGGCTCTGTTTCATTATTCTCATTAGCCTTAACCCAATAATTAATAGTTATCTCTGGTTGTATATAGTAAAAGCATAAAAACTTATTGCATTTTTGGGTGTTCGTTTTTATATCTGTATCTTGCAGTTACACATTGCTTTTTCATATATAATACAGAGAATCTATTCTAAAAGGTAATGAGATCGGTGAGAATTTAATTTGAAATGAATCTCTAGATTTTTAATTTTTTTTATTTTGTAAAATGACCCATGTCTAGGGGTGTAAATGAACAGAGCTAGTGTTTGTCTTCAGTTAGTTTGAAATTTAGTTTGTTTGAAATAGACTCGTGTTTGAAATTATTTGTGAAGTTACTGTTCGTGTTCGGTTCGATTTGTTCGAAATTAGTTCGAATTGTTTGGATTGTTTGAAATGTTTGAATCGTTCGAATTGTTCGAAATTGTTCAAATTTATTTATATTATTTGAATTGTTAAATAGACAACTTAATTATTAATTCTCAAATTACCAAAAACAATAAATAACATCTAAAACTAAATCAAAACTTCAACAAAAACATCCCTTCATCATCACTCATTACATCCAAATAAAAAATAAACTCATTAGTTGAAACCAAATTGAGTCATACAATACCATGTTACAAATAAAATGCTCTTATTTAACGAAACATATCTACTTTACAAATTACGACAGTCCAAACGTTACATTATCGTCTGTTCTGTAAAAAATTTCTCAATTTCCGAAGCTCAATTAGGACAGCCAAAAATCGCAAAGCCAAACACCAAAAAAGTAAGAAAGAAATTCAAAAGACATGAAATTAAGATAAAAATCTATATTTTTTAGTGTACAAAAAGGAGGAAAAAAAGGCAAACTGTCCTGTTTGGAAAACAGCCACTTGGATCACCATGATATATTTAAAGTCCCATCCAGTCTGTCGTAAAGGATGAATGGAAAACCAGGCAAGCTGCATAGAGATTATCCAAATCAATAAGAATTACGACCAAAAAGGGGGGGGGGGGGGCGTTTACATAGATATCAAGCAATTATGTATTTAGATATAAAAACCCTAAACATTACTTCTTTTCATGCATTGGTAAGGCAGCATGTATGTAAAAATTGGAGTTTGTGTTACATATGTAAATACATTGGAATTGAGTGGTATGTATGTGAATATCCAAAAAAAAAGGCTGATCTTTTGTGATCTAGACAGCGTAATACTCAATTAAGTTACCCAGGTAAGAGAACTCACAATAAGCACTGAGGGCACTCCAGCAGGTAAACTTTTAAGCGTTTTGAAAATAGAAAATATTGCAGAACTTCCCTGTGCTGCTTCAGATTGTTCCAACTCACATAGTGGAACTTCTTTCGCTGTGAACAGGGTCACTGTTAAGCAAATGAGAAGGAAAACCTGAAAGAACAAGAAATTAGCTCCAAACAACTACTGTAATAGCTTCAAAATAATGGCTGTCTAGTATTGTAAAGCTTGGGTCTGAAACCAACAAAATCATCGCTAATTTTGACAAGTTAGACATCTGTGTCAATTCTTAGAATGTATGACGAATAATGATCATATATAGGGCTGTCAAAAATTTGCATTGTGGATTGGCCTAGAGATCGAGAAGAAATTCGACTGCTTTTAGTTTGAACAGAGCCAAAATCAAACGAAACAAACCAATCCCAACTCGAATCGAACCTGAAATAAGCTAGGCTTTAGATTGAACCAAACTAGCTCAAAATTGGATCAAAATGTCACGAATATATTTATGCATGTATCCATACACTATATATGCATTTTTTATCAACAACGCAAGTATCTAGATATAGATGCATGAAATTATTCAAGAATAAGTATTTGCCTTGGAAGAACAATAATGGATAAAGATCGATAATAGTTTTTTCTAATAGCTGAGGTTGGATTAGCTCAATCTCAAATCATCTGCAACTCTAAAGGTATAAGATCTATATTTATTAAGAAAACTACTGGTACAAGAACGATGGAAAATGCAAGTCAGCTTACTCATATGTAGAAATTGGAAACTGAACTTCTAGCAGAAACACAATTTCAGTTTAAATGCATTAGTTTGATGTTACATTCTTCATAATAAACAAAAGCTTTTAACTGCTTAAAAGCAAATCCACCATGGGCTTTAGAGAACTTAATTCAGCTCCTGAGCATGACAAATAACACGAAATTCATAACCCAGTCCCTCTACAAAGTTTGCAGTGTGAAGATATGCCATGATCATCAGCAAACAAAATGGAAGACTGCATAAACATATCATAAATCACAAAAAAAAAAAAAAGAGCTTTCTGGTTGGAAAATAGATGTATGATTTCAAAAGCAACCAACAACAACCAAAAATAATGGAATCACAGCAAAAATGTTGAAACCTGTTTGAAAGTAATGCTTAAGCCTTATATGACTCACAACACAGTTACATAAGTGCATAGTACAGCCCAAGCAGAGCTCAATGCCCGCAAAAAAAATAAATAAAAATAAAAAAAAATAAAAAAAAAAATCTATGGTCAATATGAAGAGAAACAGATCTATATTTCACTCTCAAAAACTTTGAAACCTTGGTTTCACTTTAAAAAAAAAAATTAAACTTAAATTATTTTTTGAAAATTTAAGCTAAGAGGCAAACCTGAAGATAAATATGAAATATTAAAGAAAATATACTCAAAGATGACGCCTCGATAGCCTTACAAGAAATTAAGCAAGAATAATGAGCACTGAAGCAATAATATCGAGTAGTCGATCCAACGCAGACTCGCCGAGGACAAATATATTCTATGGAAGACAAATAGAAGTAGAGATTAGAGAACGAACACAAACATTCAACTCTAAGCTCTAGACGAGAGAAAGCTTTTCACAATTTTGTGACGAAGAGAAGGAGAGACGACCAAGACCGAAAGATTTCAGGAGGGGAAAGAGGAAAGACCGAAAGGGAGGCCGAAGTGCGAAACAGACGAACACTAACACGGGGTTAGGGCTTAGGGTTTTCTACAATTTAGTTTGTATGTATTAATATATAAAAATACTATATTATATAAATATATAATATCTATATTACTAATAGAGTAATATAGTATATTAATATATTATTATTAATAATTTATTATATATTATAATTTATAGAATTTAATTTTTAAAAATTTGATTAATTTTTAGAATATATAATTATTTTTAAAATTTCATAAATTTTTTATATATAATTATTTTAAATTATTTTATATTTCGAACAATAATGATTCGAACACGAACGAACGCATGATTGTTCGTGTTTGGTTCGTTTAACAAACCAAACGACAAAAAAAAATTGTTCGTGTTCGTCTCGTTTGTTTATCGAACGAATTGAACATGATCTCCTTAGCGAACCAAACACGAACTGTTCTCGAACAACAAGCTTTTTTGACAGCCCTACCCAACTACAACGGATGTTTTCTCTTGATCACTGAAAATTTTGCCTCAAGGACGATTTACATACATACCCACTCAATTCCCATGAATTTACATATCTAACGCCACCTAAGCTTCAATTTTTACATGCAGACCACCGGACCTATGCATGAAAATGTATATTTAACCTTTTAAAGGTTAAAATATTGGTCTTTTTGTTGCGATATGAAAGATTTGGATGTTATTAATCTAAATAGCAAAATTTTGGGATTAGATATGTAAAATACATAGGGATTGGGTGATATGTATGTAAATGCCCCAAAATAAACCTTTTTTTTAATGTGGATTTATATAAACATTAGAAAACTAATGCCCTACAATACACTTTAAAACAATGGCCTCACATCACATGTCATCAATTCAGTAAAAAAAAATTGGTATTTGGGGCATGATGAAAAAGTTAGAATTTGATGACATCAAGACACTTCTACAAGATGTGTTATTCTATTTAGGGGAATATAGATTTTCCCAACATGCATCCAATTATTAAAGTAAAAAAGCCATCTTCATTAGCTTTTTATCTTTAGAATGATGATGGCCTCATGCATGTCTTCTTAACTTTATTTAGAAACTTCATAAATACTCATCATTGGTATTATTATCTTTGTGAAGAATATGTATATATATATATATATATATTATTTTAACACATAATATGTATATCAATAGATTATATTTAATTGAAGATCAAGTTAGAAGTTACATGATGCCACAAATATTAATTAAGCAATATTGTTAAGTATATATAAGAAAAAATATATTGACCCTTGACTTTTGATAAAAGAAGGAATTAAGAAATTGTTATGTGGTGCTTTCTCTTTGATTTGACATGGCATGATCATATTTTATTGGCTATTTGATTGATGGGATAAAACAAAGTAATCTAATCAGCCACTAATAATTATATTATGCTCACATCATCACTTGTTTAAGAGTCGTTTAAGCAATTAATTAGCAAAATCGCATGGATAGATTAATTTAATTATTTGCATGCCTTTAGAATCGCATCTTGGAAGCTAGCCGTGAGTTCTAGATAATTATTTGCAATTTTCGATCTTGTATTATTTTTTTAATTTAATTAGTGTAATTTTATTTATTTAATTATTTAAAAAAATCACAAATAGTAATGATTAAAAGGTAAGTGAAGGATTCCATTCACTCGCTAGTTAATAATAATAATAGATTAATATATACTATGTTTATGCGCTCATTCTTCTTCACTAATCATCTTTTATTATGATGAGGGTAAAATGGTGAAATTGGATTGCACATTTAGGGCTTGTTTGGGATTATTTTTATTTTAAAAATATATTTATTTAGTGTATTTTTGTATGTTTTTTTTGTTTTAAATAATAAATTAACATATTTTTCACAATATTCAAAACATATTATTGTGAAAGATATCATTAAATAGCGAAAATCGATTCAAGAGATCCGAGTGCACAAAGTAAGAGAACAGAACCCAAGATTAAATATAGAAAATTCGAGAACAAGAAAAATCATGGAGCTACATCACACTAAGAAATCCACCACTATGAAGAAAATAAAGAAAATCTTACAAATTACAACACATTTATTCCTTACCATACTCTGGAACATTTCACGGTGCTCTCTTCTCTTTTTGCACAATTGAAATCGAAATCCCATACATTCTAATCGACAAAATCAAAACTTTATATGGAGAATTGCTCTAAAATTCAGTTACTAACACCGGGGGTTGTATCACTATCTTCTG